ATTAATGCATATTGTGTCCTGGAACACAATAGAATATTTTTGTTTTTTTATGTATCTTTGTATATATGTAAATGTAAGCTCTCTGCTTTGTGGCTTCTTAATTTAGTTGAACCTGAATAAAACTTTTGGTGCAGATGAAAACCCAACAAAGATGAGGATAATAATTTAATAACTTTCATGTTAAGTATGTGTCTTGTTACATAAAGATAAAATTAAGAATTCTAGTATGAGTCATGATATAATGGCTTTGTGTTATTTGCCAACTTTAGTAAATCAATTTTTTGTCAGTTTTGAAATATTGGTATTCAGTAGTTTTATTTTTGTCCTGTTATTTATTTTCTGCAATGTTTTAGCAAGTCTATTCTGTCAACTACACTTCACAAGATAATGCAACTACACAGGCATGAACAAAAATGTCACCTAACAAATGTTGGAGAATGAACCAGGCAAAATATTGCAGGTGTAGGGTGGAAAAACACAACAAAAAGATGAAAATTATTGAATACTGATAAATCAAATTCCATGCTATATTATGAGATCACTAATAAAAATATTTTATAGTAGGAAAAAAAAAAAAGATTTATATCTTTCATATTCTACAGGCTGCAGCAGAAATACCTCCTATATAATGGCATGACGTTAGTGGCAATGATGTCTTCATCTAGCTAATGTCTTACCATTATGCGGAAGGTATTTCTGCTACACCCTGGATAATGAATGTTGCAAAATAAACAGCTCTGATGATGGCATTATAGAAGTGATTTATTTACTTTTGTAATCAATGTCAATCAATTTACAAAGGAAAAAAATGTCATACATTTTAGACATCAGTTGATATTTTTTGTTTATTTTATAATTTATCATAAGATTAAATCTGTAAAGAGAAAAACTAAATTTACCTACTAAGAATTTCATTATTCCAATTGTTTAAAATTAAAATTAACAGAAAAAACAAAATTAAAAAAACAGAAAAAACAACCTATATCCTTTTGTGATAAAATTTTTCCTTTTTTTCTTTTTTAATTATCTGCAATGGATTCCAACTAACACAAATGCCCTTTTATACAAATTAAAAAGAAAGAATGAGTTTGCTATCGTATTAGTTTACTCATGCTATTAAAAATAAATGACTCCAATATTTAAATACATTTGAAATTGTACTTAGAAAATGTCAAACATTTTGTATTTTCTTGTCTGTTTTCAATATTTCTTGAATATTAAACTAAATGGCATTGTATTCATTAATGAATAATTGACATTTCTAGATCATCATCAGAATATATACACCTGTCTCTTTCTCTATTTCTTTTTGAATTTGTAGGTCTGATGAATTGGATCATGATTACAATTCCAATGTAAGAAATTATAACCATGGAATATTAGTGTTTGAGCCTTTTATATTATATTCTTACTCTGTCCTGGACATTGAGTTCTACCTGGATTCTATCCTCTTGGGGATTTTTATATATATATATATATATATATATATATATATATATATATATATATATATAAACTAAAGGAAATGAGAACAAATCAAATATAAATTCAAAACATTTAATTTAAAAACAGTGCCCAATAGTAGAGCAATATTCTTTATTATAGGATATTACATTCAAACATATGTAAAACCACTATATAAATGCATTCATGTTTCTATGTATATCATCGTATCTCATCAGGCGGTAGTAAATGAGGGTTATTACCATTTTTTAATATTTGCTTACGAACAATCTTTTTCCCATGAAAAAAAGAAAATAAAGAAAGAAAGACATGATGTAGTCTCCTCTAAAAAGAAAAAAAAAAGAAACAAACAAGATATAGTTGAAAATAAAAGAAAGATAAGATATAGTCTCATCTCAAAAGAAAAGAGAAAGATAAATATAAGGGTGATATAGAAATGTAAAGAATTTAGACAAGATATGTTGATAATTGGTTCAACCAGTCAAAATAATCTGTTAAGTAAGATGTCATAGAACACATTCAAAATTCAGTGGATATATATGGTCTATTTGAAACAGAATTTTGATACAATGTAACGACAAACGGTTGACATTTTCACTGAAGAAGCAGCATAATTTAACAATAATTATTTAATGGTATGTAAATAAAGACTCTTTAAGAAATATATATAATTTGATAATTGTGTATTTAGGCAGCAACCCCTCATTTATACATGTTTTATTAAAAACAACAGACAAGGTACTTTGATTAAGTTTCTTATTTAGTTCTTCTTGTGTTCGAACAAGTGTTTTCTTTTCTGGACACAGTCTGTAGAAACTGTCCAAATGTTCTGTAATTTCAAGAGCATTTCTACATTGTGTCCAAAAAAGAAAACACTTGTTCAAACACAAGAAAAATTAGGTAAAAAAAGCTTAATCACAGTACCTTGTAGGTCGTCTTTAATGAAACATGTGTGTATGTATGTAATAATAATAATATATATATATATATATATATATATATATATATATATATATATATATATATAAAATTTAATGGTGTGTGTGTGTGTGTGCATGAGTAGTATTCCAAAGTAACTACATTTAAGGTGGGAGAGTGCTCACTATCATGGATAGTGCTTGTAGATGGAAACAGTATTGATTTCTATGTCCACTGTTTGAGAGACAAGTATCAAACTAATAGTGGGCAACTGAATGACAAATTGAAAAAATAAGCCAGTGTTAGATCCTTTTGTCCTTTAAAAAGATTCCTGATGTTCTTATTGATGGAATCCTAATACAGCAAATATTGGTTACAATTCTACATTGAGAAACACTGAAGATATATCATTGCTTGATTTTAAATTTTTGGTGTCCGATGTATCTAGATGCATCATCAGCTAGCCTATTTCATTCTGCCATTTTCATTTTTATTGCTCATTTTTAAATATTTCACATTTGTAATAGCAGTTTCTTTTTTTTCTTTTTTCATAGGAAAGGAGGTATTTTGTATGATCTTGGATATAAATTAACCACCCTGGAAGAATATGAAATCAATATATTTTTACCTTAATGAATTACTTTCTCTGTTGATTAGCACTACCTTCTTTAAATCAAAATTATGATCACTTATTACAATCAATAGCTGATTTATGCTTTTGTAAAAGATAGCTTTTATGTTTGTATATTTTTTTATTTGAATTCCTAAATGATTCACCTTTGTATTTTTAGTCTGTTATGTTTGCTTTGAATAAGTTAATGTTTCATGTTACCCTAAACAACGGAATATTATTTAGCAATGATACCAATGGCTGATAAAGATTACATGTTTTGTTTTTATATATATATATATATATAAATTATGGTTTATAGTATTGGAAAACAATAGTCATACTAATCCCCCCGACCACCACCATTCAACTAAATTTGTTTATTGCCACTGTGATAGGAATACATTTTCACTTGTAACCCCAAATGGAAAGCAAGACAAAATTATTACTTCTATTAGTTTTCTAAAATGGCTTACAAGAATCTATAGAATAGCCAGAGCAGAGGATTCTCTTGATAGAATCAACTGCCACATATCTGGGACCAAAGCCTTCAAGTCAGAGGACATTGGCTGTTGTTTGATAAGAAAAGAGATGGACTCCACCAAATCCAATATTCTCAAAGATTTGCAAAATGTAAATGAATACCTACCAAAACATGGGAGAGGGAGTTGGTCAGATTTTTAGTTGTGCAGTGACTCTACAATCACAACCAGTCATGTGACTGATAAGTCTTATTGATATTATTATTCATCATTAAGGTTTGGTGATTTTTTTTTTTTTTTTTTTCACAACATGCAAAGTCGTACACACTCTGACCATTAAAGCAATCAGTATGAATCAAAATAAAGGAACCTCCCATGAGACTTGAAAAATAAGTGAAAGTGTACAAGTGTCATGTCCTGGGTATGACGATAAACTACATCCGCGTCCTGGGTGAGACAAACTACATCTGATAGCAAGGCCTCTGTTCAGGAGGTTTTGAGGAGTGTGGAACCACCTCTTAATTGCTGGTGTTCCTATGTCCTCCCTGATAAAAACATGGAAATTTTCTAACATATATCAGTAAAATTTTCACTCTCAAAAATTATATCTTATAATTTAGACTTATGGAAAAAGATGTCAGATTAAATAGGTTGCACAATCTTATTTTTGTTTTAAGAATAATATTGAACTTCTTAAATTTATCAAAGCCAGCAACTGATCTTAATTAGATCATTTCTTATAATTCCGTTATATATTTTTTTTTATTAAGCAATATTAAAGTTTGTAGGGGGATGGATTATTTTATGAGATATATCCCCCTACAAAACACTTGATTTGTGTACATAAATCAATGGAGATAAACTGATAAATGAAAATATCACTTTTGTGGAACATGATCATTGATTGAAGTCCAATCTATCCATCTTTTCCTCAATGCTGTTTTGTAATTGATGGCTTTTCCAACTTGGATTTGGTTACTATGGTCAGTTTATTGAAATGATGGAAACGGTATGCAGAGTTACATTTCTTTATTCATAGAGATAGTAAAACTTACAAGTAAACCAATAAACAAAATGTTTCCTGCCCATGGGACTCTGACAGAATATTCAAAATTGATTTTTAGAATCATATCTGCAAACAAACTGTCATCCTTTTTAAAGATGAAGGATTGGTTTTAATCATTCATTCTCATGCTACAAAAGCCATACAACTTTTCAAATATGCAATTCATTTATCTATTCACACATTTTTCCCCACTTGTTGGTTGGTCTTATTCTTTATTCATTCATTAGATGAAAGTAAGTTAAGACCACTTTTGGAATAATACAATATTGATTATTGTATGACATGACAGTGATAAAAATGAACCCAAGTTTCTTTATTCATTTTCTGTAAATTCTACTTGTAATTCATTCTTCCTTTGAGAGTATCACAAACATGTATTATTCCAGTATTCTTTTAGTTCTCAACATTGATATCTTGTGTGACTAAACATTTTGAATTTGCCTCTTGAATTTTATTTCAGAATAAGTTTGCTCTTTCTATCCCCTCTCTCCACTCCCTCTATCCTCCTCTCTCCGCTCCCCTCTCTCTCCTCTCCCCTATCTCTCTCTCTCCGCTCCCCCTATCTCTCTCTCTCCGCTCCCCCTATCTCTCTCTCTCCGCTCCCCCTATCTCTCTCTCTCTCCCCTCCCCCCTATCTCTCTCTCTCCGCTCCCCTATCTCTCTCTCTCTCCCCTCCCCTATCTCTCTCTCTCGCTCCCCCTATCTCTCTCTCCGCTCCCCTATCTCTCTCTCTCCCCCTATCTCTCTCTCCTCCCCTATCTCTCTCTATCTCTCTCTCCGCCTCCCCCCCTCTCTCTCCGCTCCCCTTCCCTCCGTTTCTCTCCCTCCCCCTTCCCTCCGTTTCTCTCTCCGCTCCCCCTTCCCTCCGTTTCTCTCTCCACGCCCTCCCCTCCGTTTCTCTCTCCACGCCCTCTTCCCTCCGTTTCTCTATTCTTCCTTCTCACACACAAAAATATTCATTAGGTTATGTGATGCTGGTTTCCTTACTTATACTGGGTGCAGCAGAAATACGTCCCCCATAATGGTAAGACATTAGTGACAATGATGTCTTCATCAAGTTAATATCTTACCATGAGCTTATAGTGAGCTTAACACCAATCTTCATGGCCTGAAGATTGCATTGATGCATGAAACACTGTGTTGACCTCAGTCTCAACTTTTATATTTACATATGCTCCATTTCTACTATTGAGCACTTTTACCCATAAATTTAGCTTACTTTTAAACTATATTTGTATCATATTGGCCACTGGAATGGCCTAAACAAATTTACATCTAATTTTTACTATCTTCTTGCTCTGTTTCAACAGAATAATTGCTGAACTGCTTTTATGTGCTGCCATTGCATGTAGAGATTTCTATTTGTGATATTATTTTGCTCCTCATGTCCTTGTGGACTACTTCTGTCCTGTTACCATTACCATTTGCTGGGGATTCTTTTATGTATAATTTTATAGAAATCATTTTCACTCCATATTCTATATGGTCTCCAACTTTATCATGTAAGTTAGACTATTTTTCATTTTGGGTTTCCTGATAAAAGAAAATTTATTCACTGCTACCCAAGCTAACAATGATGCTCAGGCATCTCTGAATTATATAATTGTGTGCATATACACTAAGCCTCTTTATCTTTGCTCCAACTATATACATTTAGCAAAAGATGCATATAAGAACTTTTACATGCATCACAGATGTCAGATACTAACAGGAAGTAGAAAATTGTGGTGGTAGTAGTAGTAATAGTAGTAGATGGGTAGATTTAGTGGAGGAAGTCTCTAGAAAAGTGATACTTTCAGATAACTGTGACAATGAAAAGACATTTCCTTTCCTGAATAAAACAAGTTATTAAACTTCATGAGTCTCTTTTTCACTTCCACAATAACTTTTTCCCTCACTCTTCTTTTCAGCTTTGTTAATTTATCTACCCAGTATATTCTCTCCTCTTTATGCAAGGACTCTGCTGCAAGTCATCATCTCTTCATCATGATAGCAAATACTTATAGCAACTGACAGCATCAGTTGCAGCTTCATTGATACTTTTGCTGCATATGAAGGTTGCACATTATCTCATTGTGCAACCTGAGACATATTAAGATAATAGATACAAGTGGAAGCAACGTTAAGTACCTTTTTAAGAGTGTACATCAATAAATCCATAGCTTTTATAAGTTCTTAGTTTATGGGAGGCAAGGTGGAGTTTATGATAGTGACTCCTATTAAGAAATTGGAGATCCAAGTTCAACACTTATGAATGGGAAAGGTATGAATACATCTCTTGTTCCCCTCAGCTATGATTAAATAGTAGGATTTTTTTAATCTGTGGTTATTTATTATTATAAAGGTTATTTTAATGGGTATACATGTTTAAGTAGATATCTATAACACCCCCTCCCTTACTCTAACATTGCAATTAATGTTTTTGCCTGGAACATTGAACATCTTGTAGAAACTAAACCTTTTGGCAGGAATTGATTAAATTTTTTTTTTCCTCTCTCTATCTCCAGGATTAAGTCAATGCATTGGCAGTGGTTAATTCTATGTTTCTACATGCATTCTTTACCTTAGGCTCCATATTTATTTTTCCTGTAAATATCTACATTGAAAGCAAAGTAAGAATTTAAAAGGACTTGTAAATATTATATCAAACCTTTTTATATATAGACACTATTGTTGGTGAGTAGCCTCTTTTCAGATAAGCCAAGCAGAATGTGAAATGACAATGGCATAATTTTCTATATACATTTATGTACAACAGTTGGTCCAAAATAATTTTGGAATATCACATGATTGATTTTTAGGTAAGCGTGGTTGGGTGGCCAGTTCACAATGAAAGAATTAATATGGTTAAAACTGCCCAACCCTTTCCCACCATTCCTGCAACCACTATATCCCATTTGACCCCAATTGGCTGATTCTGAAACACAAATCAGTTTTTATAATTACTTCTATTCTGTCCACACAATGAAACTTAATTTAGCTTTTGACATTAACTTTGACTCACTTGCTCTCCTCTGTTGGAAGCATTTTTTCCTGACCTGCAGCCCTCACCAACTTCCATCTCATTTATTCCTGTCTTCACTTTGGGTAAAGATTGCCTCTTCTAGCAATTCTACCTTGTTCAAATTATTGTTCCTCCCAGGTAATGAATACTTGCTATAATTACAAAAAGAAACTCTCCTGTGTGTGGGTATGATAAATTTCTTGTGGTTATTTTGTAGGTTGTTGTTATGGCAAGTTTTTTTTTCTCTCTCTCTCTCATTTTCCAATAATTGTTTGTTTCTACCTCTCCACCTCCCTGCCTCCCTATTCAATTTTGCAGCCTGATCTGACTTTGAGATCAGAACACTATCTTGAGATTAACTCTGTTCTGAATTCTTTCATTTTAACAATGCCTGTTAATATTGACAGTATTTCTGCTCTTATTTTATTCAGTAAAATGTATGAGTACTTATTATTATATTTATTTTATTGGCCAAACACAAATTCCTGTTTACTAAGAGACACATTGAACAAAATGCTGAATAATATTACTAAATTGAATAGTGCACTCAGTCTGTTTATAAACAACTGTTATAATTTGGCTAAAGTATCATTAAGGTTATTCCAGAGTTTGCTTTTTATTATTCTTGACATTGACATGCATTGTTACATAGAATCAGGCACAATTAGTCCATTAATTCCACAAATAATTCTGAAAGAGAATTTTAATTGTATTTATTTTACCACTTCAGTTATTCTTACAACTTTTACATTTTGCTTCTTTAAGCTCAGAAAATTACCATTTTATATATATATATATATATATATATATATATATATATATATATATATATACACACACACACACTAGCGGGGATACCTGGTGTTGTTCAGGAGATCTCTGAATAATAGTTTATTATTGACAATTTATGTTTTTCAGCCATCTTATGGAAAATAATTGTTTATTCAATCTTTAAAAAATAAACTGCATTGTTGTTTTGGTTTGTTACAAAATAACTAAATTTAGGAAAATATCACACTACCAATACCACACTTGTTGGTGGGGGGTGGCATAGGGGGACTGAGCATCCCCATATTTTTATTCAAAAATACACTTTAAATTAAATAAAATATAGTTAAATTCATAAAACAAATATTCAACACAACTAATGTTCACCATAAACCATGTGTCTCTTAATTTTTATTTAACTAAATTTTTTTTTTCTTTTCAAATACAAATATAACTTGAAATGTAAACATAATCAGTTTTCAAAACTAAATTCTCAATGTATCTTGCTTCTAGTCTCTTTTAAAATAGTAATTACATTCATTTATGGAGAAATGTTTATTTCTTTAATTTAATGTTTAAAACTAAAACTTTATTTACTTTATTTAGATGTTTTAGCTAGACACACACACACACACACACATTTATTTGAATAAATAAATATTAAACTTTTTCAAATAATTGTATTTAATATTCTTTTAAATTTACTTTGTTGTTTTAATATTAATTTTTAAAGTTATGCTTTTATTTACTATAGATGTGAAAATAAATTCAAGAGAATAAAAATTAAAACAATACATACATGTATAGCGTTTGAAAAGTATCAGCAAAATTAGAAAGTAAAAACAAATGTTAATAACAAACAAGAATAAGAATTATTACAGTTTGTTTTTACTTTTTAATTCTAAATTTTAATTTTAAAATATCTTTGTAAATACAAATCATACAATGATGATTTTTGTTTTTTACAAAAAGCTACCTTGGGTGATACTGAGTCTATATATATATATATATATATATATATATATATATATATATTTACTTTGTTGGTAATTAATATAGTTTTTTCATTTTCGCCAGACACACAGACAACTGCCCTGTATGTATGTATATGTGTGTGTGTATATATATATATATATGTATAAATAAAGTTATATGGAATCTGTCAGAATGATAGGATAAGGAGAAATAGGAAACATTTATAAATCTAACATATTTTGCTTTTATTAAAGCTTCATCAAAAAATGAAATATAGCGAAAAAGAGAAAAAATACTGGTATTTTTAATTTTTGTGTTTGTTTTACATTAGTTAAACAGACTTCACATGCATTTGTCTTGTCAAACAGTATTTGTGTGTATAATTTATGTGAGTAAAGGAATCATATTCTGGATGATAATATATATATATATATTCATTTGTGTGTGTATCTAGTAGGCATGTTTAGTGGTTGTCCACACGTTGATTTGGGGATGTTTTCTCGTAAAACCAGTTGTAGTAGTAGGTAGACATATCTGAGATTCTTTAAGTATGGATTTTATAAAAGTTGGTGATGTAATATAGTGTGTTTGACAGGTGTTTATAGATGGTGAAATATTTATCAGGATTCCCTTTCAAGTATTTCCTGTGTAAAGAATTATGTCCTTTTTTGATTTATTTTTTTTAAAATTAAGGTGGCATTTATAAAATCAAAGTTATAGTCAGTTTAGTTTCTGTGTATTACAAGTGAGTTTAAAGGGTTGTCCCAGCATGGAACTCTCTTATGTTTGTAGATGTGGGTTTTTAAATATCTCACCAATGTAACTGTTTCTACATTACTAGCACTATATTGCATAAATCCCAGCATCTGATATGGTGTTAGATCTATTTATCTTTCTAGCTATATATTTGATTAACTTGGAGGTGGTGCTAAAGAACCTAGTCTTGGAGATAACTAATTTATTTTCAAATTTTGTAGATAGTGTTGAAGGGTAAGATCATAAATTGTGTTTTTTTTTTTTTGTTTTGTTTTTTTGTTTTTTTATGCTAATGCTGTCAGCAGTGTCTACAGCACTTCTAACATCAAAAACACAAAATTCATAATCTTACTCTCTAACACTATCTACAAAATAACAAAACTTGTTAGACTTATAATTTGTTCCTTATCCTATCATATAAAAATTGTATATTTTGGCAATAATCTCTCTTTAATACATATTTCAATGAACAAGACTGACAAGGCACTTTTATTTGGAACTGTCTACAACAGCACTTAAACACCATTTATTGTAATAGCATAAAAAAAAAGGAGGCATGGTGGAGTAATGGATTGTGGCTCAGATTGAGGAATTGGAGAGCCAAGTTTGAATTCCAGTCAAATCCATTACATTCATTTATGTACCTTGGGAAAGGTATGAATCCTCTTCTTATCCCCACCAGCAATGGGTAAATAGCAGGACGAACTGGGTTCTATAGCCTTGGATGGCAATTGATCTACCATAGAAAGAAATGACAACCTACTGTGGGAGTAAAAAATTTGCCTCATCAGTCATGTATTGAAAGATATATGATTGCCTAAGCGTGTATCACGCATGGCACATAACTGACTGATAACAAAAAAAAAAAATAATCCTTGAAAATGGCCAACAAACATTTAGACTATTTTTACATTCATTAAGTCCAGGAAAGACACTTGTATGCATGCAAGAAAAACATAATAAAAAAAAAAAATATCAGTTTTGTTCAAAGAGAGAGTTGAATGTTTTAATGGGTGATTAGTTTTTTTTCTATGACTTATCAACCCTTTGCAGGTTATTTAAAGCCAGAAAATGTTTCTAGATTATAAGAACATCTTTTAGCGATAATAATTTAGTGGTACAAGTCTTACTAATTAACCCATGGCTAGGGTGCAAGAGGTGGATTTATACTTTTCCCTAAGGGTATTCACATGTAAGTGAATATAACAAACCCAAATTTCTGGAATTAGAACTTGGCTTTCTGATTAACAATTCTGAACCATTATCCATTACACCACTAACACATCCAAACTTACAGCACTCTGGTATTCCCAAGAGGTCACCCATCTAGGTACTGACCAAGTTGGACATTGCTTAACTTCGGTGATAGTACAGGAATAGGTGTTTCAACGCTATATGGCCATAAGAGAGGTGTGTGTGTGTGTGTGTGTGTGGAGGGATGGACAAACACACTTTTTTAAAATAATGCCTGCTATTTTATTATTTGGTTCATGATATCATTGACAGATGTTGGTACTTCACACCAATAAACCATTTTTTTTCTTTTTTTTTCTTTTACTCTTATTACAGATAGCGACTGAAAGTCTGGCAAAATAGCATCTGACTCAAAAGTCTATACACAGTAGATGTATTCCATTGATTTCCCCCATGAGAAAAAATTTGCATCCATTGACTTTCATTGTTGCTTGCTATTTATGGAGACCAAATAGTGGATGTGAGCTTAGCTAATTAGTGGTTAATTTGCTTCAACATTGATCAATTATGTCACCTTATAATATCCCTGTTCCTGATGTGCAAATTAGTGCAACTGTTATCAGCACTGAAAGTAGAATTGGTTGAACTTGTAACTTAGTCTGTTAGATTCACTTTTGCACTAACATCTTTAAGAAAGACAGGAATCCAACTTTTCTACCCTGTCTGGATTGGGTTAAATAGCAAAGTAGACAGAGCCTACTAGCGTTGCATAGTAGCCAGTTTATGAGAAGAACTACTCTGAATTGGGGATGGGGAAAACAATGTCATTTTCTTTTCTAAGAAGTTATGGCAAAATAATAAAGTAAGAGAATATTACGCCCTGAGGGCTGGGGCTGTAGAATATGTTGACTGCACCTTTGCAGGGGCGTAAGATCTCCCCAGTGTGCATCCTGGGTAAGACAATAATCTACATCTGCGTCCAAGATAAGACGATAAACTACATCCGACAGCAAAGCCTTGGCCAGAAGGCTTTGAGGAGTGAGGCATCGCCTCTTAATTGCTGGTGTTCCCAGGTCAACCCTGACCCAGGATGGTAGCACTTGTCAAGGTCCCAGATATGGGCAAATAGTTAAACCCCCAAAAGTGGTAAAAATACTCTGAAAGTATAAAAATAGGTTTTAATACCAGCAATACACTTTTTTTTTTTTTTTAATATTACCAGCAATACATTTGAAAAAAAATATTACCAATAATACACTTAAAAATATATATATATATATATATATCAGTAATACATTTAAATATATATATATATATATATATATATAATACATTTAAATATATATATATATATATATATATATATATATATATATATATATATATATATATATATATATATATATATATATAGCCAACAGTTCAGTTATATGCGATGCATGATGCACACTTAGGCGATCATGTATCTTTTGATACACGACTAACGAGCCAGATTTTTTTCCCACAGTAGGTTGCCATTTCTTTCTCCGGTAGACCAGTTGCCATCCAAGGCTATAGAATCTGGTCCATTCTGCTATTTATCCATAGCTTTGTGGGTGGGGGAAGAGGATGCATACCTTTCCCAAGGGTATTGGCACATAAGTGAATGTAATGGATTCAGCTAGAATTCGAACTCGGCTCTCCAATTCCTCAATCCAAGCTGCTATCCATTACTCCACCGTAACACATTTATGAAAAAAAAAAAAAATTACTAGCAATAAAAATCTTATCAGCATTACCCATTGAGGTTGATATGTCATAAACCAAACTAAGAGAATATGTGGAGAAACATAGTTGCTTCGATCCTGAAGGAACATCGTCTAACAAAGATAAAAATATACTTTATTTCTATATTTACCTTGATTTCCAACACTGATGATTCCTGTTTTCCTCATTCCCAATGCAAAGCAGAGACCAAGTCCAGGAAACTTTTTCTAAAATAAAGTTTAGATAAAAAATATGAAAAATTTCCTGCCTAATAATTTTTTTTTTCTCTTATTGCTATAAACATTTAATTCATTAATGCTAAAAATGATTAAAACTAAAAAGGTCAGTCGTAGTAAAGTCAGCGAGTAGCTGTAAGAAAACCTAAAACTTTACCTGCATATTCTGGGTTCAAATGCCATTGGTGATTAGTTTAATTTTTTAATTTGCTGTCACACAAATTAGTGAATGAAAATTTTAAATTTGTTTAATAAATCCTATCTATGCTATTACAGATTACATAAACAGCTCATTTTGCAAATTGTAACAAATCTGGTATTGTTTTTATTTTATTTATTGCAAACTTTGAACATTTTAAATTTATTTCAGTAGGTATAAAAGATAATTTTTATAGACCATGCACTGTTTATAAAATATGGAAAATGTTAAAGTATATTTTGCTGTAAGAAAAAGAAAATGTTTTAAAAAGAAAAACCAAGTTCAAAACAATATTCATTAGTAAAAGTTTTATTTAAAGTCAAGGGATTTTTTTTATTAGTAGTATATATTTGTTTTTAAGTGTTAATTAACATTCATGGAGTAAACTCTTTACAATTTTTATAGCTAAATAAAAGTTCTACATTTCAAATTGTGCCTTAATATTTCTGAACTTTATGCTATGAACTATTTTATCAGGAAACAATTGAAAAGGAATATGTATAGTTATTTTAAAATGTCTTCTGTTTAGTCATAGTGCATGTATGAGCACAATGGAAACTCTTGGCTGTTGTGATTGGTCCAGTTTTATTACATTTTAATCATAACACTTAAATAAAAAGGATACTGATTGCAAATCTCATTGTTGGTTATTAGCAAAATATTTACTTATATTAACCCTTTCTATTTTACAGGTTGCATATTAAAAAATAAAATTATTCTAATCAGACATCATATGACTCAGTAAATCATTTCTTGTGAAGAGTCTGGGAGCATAATTGAATACAGATGTTGAAATTTTCATAATCATAGACATTACTAAAAAATAAAATAAAAATTGATGATTTAAGCTTCTAAATTTGAAATGCTTCTTGGCTACTATAAATTAATATAAGTCATAAGCTCTGAGTCACCTGAAATTATCTATTGTTATTTATCCATTATTTTTGTTTGCCTTAGATTTTTAGGTTAGAATATTGATTTTAATGTATTAAAAAGTGGAGAACTTTTGTAACACATTTCATCCTCTAGAATAGTGATTCTCAATGTAGGCCTAAGAAATATTTTAAATGTGCTTAGAGATGCAAGGAACAGTGTAGCCATTAATCAGGATTTATATTTTCTACTATATTTTGCTTTTTTAAATAACATGTATTTCCTGTTACATGGCATTTCTATTTGTGCTTATGTGGGCCTGAATTATTTTTTTTAACACCAAAAATGGTCCATAAGGAAGAAAAAGTTGAGAAACACTGCCCTAGAAAAACTTCAACAGACTATAATAATGTTAAGCATTACTTTAGTCCAATGAAGTCATTGAGGAAGAAATGTGTTACACAGAATTTTTGCCACTTTGTCATTCATTTGCGTTGATGTATAGAAATTTATATATCATATTATCCAATATTTATGGATGTAAACATGTTGACAAATGTGACATTTGTATATTTGTCTAATGAATGGCTATCACTGTCCTAACTCTATTAGCCAACTGGCTTTGCTTATGCTGTCCACTTTGAAAAGAACCTGAAATGCCAAGCCGGTTCCGCTTGATGAATGTCGATAACTGATAGATGACTTTGGTAGCTTGTATGTAATAATAATAATATATATATATATATATATATATATATATATATATATATATATATATATATATTGTACGCATCAGTTGTAATATCTTGAATTTGATAAGGGAATGTAAAATGTCTGTTAACAAATAACAAGTGCCAATTACGTAATGATTATGTGTCTTTATAGCATATTCCTTGAGGATTACTGACTTTAAACTTTATTTAAATGATATGCTCTGATATTGGGAACTTTGAGGACCTGGCATTGTTGAGTTATTTTAATGTAATGCTCCTTTGTTGAGGCCCTACAGTTTACCATGTTATCGAGCATTTTCCTGGTAAGTTTTTTTTTTTTTTTTTTTTTTTTTTTTTTTTGCTGACAATTTCATGTAATGGTGATTCTTTGGCATTTCCATCTTGGTTGTATGGGCATTTGCTCTCCTCAGTGAGTTTAGTTGGTGTATGCATGTATGTACACATCAGCTACCCTCATTGTAATATCGTGAACTTGCCAAGGGACTAAAAAGACCCATGTTCACAAATAACAGCTGCTTGACTACCTGATGATAGCATGAAAACACATAAAACTTTAAGTTATGGTCACTCTTAACTGAGAAAAAAAAAATATGGAAAATTTCTTCTATAGTCCCTCTTTATAAAATATTTCATATGTGGAAAACAATATTTTCTGGTTGGCAAAAATTATCATATATGCATATACAATTGTAAATGATATTTGCAGCTAAGGAATTTATATGCAAGAGTTTGTAATATATTTTCATTTGACAGATCTTTTGCATACATTGTTGATAGGCTGTAAATATCTTTGTTTTTTTTTATATTTTCTTTTTTTCTTTTATTTTATTATATATATATATATATATATATATATATATATATATATATATATATATATTTTCTTACATTAACACTGTTCTGTACTGAAAAAAAAAAAGTAATATATACTTTGCTTTCGTCCCCTGTGTAACATAATTCTTTTCTGTCTTGGTGCTTGTTAGCTTGCAAGGAAAGGTCATAAATTAGTTGATTAATTTTCCCCCAGAAACTTAAGGCTTAGGAATCAGTCAGAATATGAAGTTTGTGCATATGGTAATAATAATATTAACTGTTTCCCTATGAGGAAACATTTGGCATTTATTGACCAAGCGGACAGTTCTATTTTCATGTGAAATTTATTAAATTTTTCTTTTAAAACACCTTTTTTAGGAAAACAGGTTTTCAAGTCCAATTACCTCATCTTTATCACAGTGTTTCAGCCAAAAGTACAGTTCAGCCTTCCTCAAGGTTCTATCCACATTTGGTAAACCTTCCAGAGATGTCACATGTATATAGGTGCCACTAATTAAGAGAAAACAGACCTTAGATTTACTACTCAGAAAGTTATTACATAATTATTTACACTCAGATTATTGCCCTCATCTTCATTGTCATCATCA